AGAGAGAGAGAGAAGAAAAAATGAGCAAAATTTTTGTATGATTTTCAAAAGGGGGATCAAAAACAAAGTGGAACTACGAGGGGGAATGAAGGAACGAAAAGAATATAAAGAAACGCATCTTCGAATCGAAAATTAAAAAAAAAAATTGCTTAGGGATGTATGATTACTGATGAATTGATAGAAAAAAAAAGAAAAAAAAAAATAGAAATGAACGAAAAAAAAAAAATTAAAACGTCGAGCATAGGAGAAAGACTACTTAGATTTATTTTTATTATGTCTTCAAAAAGACTTTAAATATAATATTTATATTGTGCCATAATTAATATTAACAAAACCTTAAGTATAAATTAATTGTTACGAAAGTTTTTAAATTTATCGGAAGGGGAAAATTGCAAAAACATAAAAAAAAAAAAAATAGGAGGAATGATAAAGATGATGAAAAGAAGAAGAAGAAAAAAAAGATATCTCTACTGTCTAATCGATAATTGTAACTGTAACGATAGTTATTAAGAAAGAATCAGGTCATTTTTAAATGAATGCCGCATTTACAAGAGAGAAGCTAGGATTAAAGATATAAACAACAACGGTTGATTCATATCCGCTCATCAACATGTACAACAAACTAATTCGATTCGTGTAGCGTGCGCCCTTTTTCTCACACACACACACACACACTTATGCGAAAGAAGAACACAGAAGGAAAATATTGTAAAAAAAAGGAAAAGAATTGAACAATACCCGCCGTACTCTTCAGCGTGAGATGTATCAGTATGGTTCTTGCCAAAATTTGCGAAAAGCGCCAAAAAGCCCCCTTCGATGCGAGGGGATGATAATCATCGACCCGTTTCCAGCCGATATTTTTCTGGGTCTTATTTATTCGTAAGTTTCAACCGTCCCGGACACAAAGCACGATGGCTCTGAGAAACGGGTCGTTGACGCGGCACACTCGAAAGCACGAAAAGGGTAAACGCGTATGCGAAGATAAAATTCGCGATCGAGAGAGGACGACGTGTCGCGATGAAACGCGATCACGAATGATACGCGGAACGAACAGAAATTCTCAACGGTGATAAAAAGAAGCGGCGATACAAGCGTCGAAAGGAAATACCATTTTCATCGATCGAGCATTGGACGATCATTTTGATCCACCGTTGAGATTTTTCTTACGTTCGTTTTTTTTTTTTTTTTTCTTATCACGGCGTCTGCAAATCGGTCTCCAACCACGGAACGCCAACAACGGAAACCGTGTCGGGTATCATCCATTCATTTATTAATTCTACATATCGTCTGTGACTTTGTCCTAATATATATATAATACATAGATGCAAATCGTCTCACTTCGAAAGGGAAAGAAAAGAAAAGAAAAGAAAAAAAAAGAAAAGAAAAGAGAAACCTGTATTTTTTACGTTTCGCTCTCCCGTGTAAATTGTAAATTTCTGTCTTCTGTATCTCTGAGTCTTTTGCCTGTTCAACGTTATCACTGATGTTTATTATATACGATCGGTATCACGATATATATATAAGATCATCGATCAATCGATTACCAGGGATAGTTTAATCAATTAGTTAGCTCGCGAGGAAGGGAAGAAGGGGAAGAGGAAAGAGGAAGAGGACGAAGAAGAAAAAAAAAGAAAAGAAAAGAAAAGAAAAGAAAAGAAAGGAAAGGGAAGGGAAGGGAAGGAAGAACGTAATGTACGAAATATATATATAGATATTTGACGAGGAGTCGGATGGCACGTTATGTTAACTTTTTATGTATATAAATATATATATGCAGATATGTACGTATACATACATAACACGCATAAAAGAAAATATTATATAGGCCTATTTTGTAAGATTTCTCCTTGGTTATACTTTTTATGTTAATTCTCTTCTTTTTTCGATTTGTTACAGCGATTTTTCGAGAGTGATTGTTTAAACGCGTCAAGGAGAACTTACTGGATACTTATTATTATTATTATTATTATTAATTATTAATTATTATCATTATCATAATTATCGCTATTATTATTATTATTATATTAATCATGATTATTGCTATTATTATTATTATTACTCTTGCAATTATTGTAATAATAATTCTTAGCATTAGACCTATTATTTTTTTTTTTTTATTATCGATTCAGTCGCGATTGTGATCGTTGAAATCTTTTGTTTTTTTTTTTTTTTTTTTTTTTTTTTTCCCTTAAATATCGATCGATCGCGATGTGTGCGCGTAAAATGCAAAATCTCTCAAGCTTCGAAGAAGAGAAAGAAAAGCACACCATATATACACACGCACACAAATATATACATATACACAATAATACGCTCTGCATCGCGTTAAACTTTCAGACCCACACACGAATGCGAATCGCCCACACATCGTGACAATTTATCGTTTTCTTTTTATTTTTATCGTTATTTTTTTATTATCATCATTATTATTATTATTATTTTTTTTTTCTTTCTTTCTTTCAACACTTCTCACTTATCACTTATCCTTGTCGTGATGTCGTAAAGAAAAAGAAAAAGAAAAAAAAAAAAGAAAAAAAGCGTCGATGGTTTCCATCCGTTTAATAAGATTAATTTTAGTCCCGTAATTTACAAATACGAAGCACAAATTATTAAGAGATAGACCGGGTCGTCGAGCGCAAAAGGATCCACGTGTTGCGAGCGTTTTATGCATATACATACACATAGACATAGAGAGAGAGAGAGAGAGAGAAGAGAGANAGAGAGAGAGAGAGAGAGAGAGAGAGAGAGTA